GTTCCAACTCCTTCCTGCTCTGGTCCTTTTTGCCCAAAGGATCCCCTGCCACAGGTACTCTGGGACCTTTTGACAGATCCTCCCTCCGGAGCAGCCTGTGCAGTACAGACTGCAGCTGTGATGGTGTCTTTAGGATTAAGCCTCTTTGGGGAGCCTGGACAGAGGTAGGAAGATACACTCCTCTCTGCCAGGCCCTGGGGTAGGGGGTGTCCAGGGAAAGTGACACACCAGAGAGCTGATAGGCTAAGAGCAGGTGAGCCAGGTAGGGAACAGGAGCTGGCTCACAGATGGCCCTCAGGGACCCTAGGTGAAGTTTGGAATTGGGGACAGAAGCTCTGGGCTAGCACTACTGCAAGTTGCAGGTGGGGAAGGCAAGGAAAGGGACAGAGGACCTGGAGAGTGAGGTAGGAGTATTGCCTCCTTTCAGGAGGACAAGGCAGGGATGAAGGACAGAGGACCCAGAGGAGAGGGGTGGAGGGATGGGTCAAGGCTACAAAGAATCCAGGCAGGTGGGAAGTGCTGCTGGATGCTACTTATCAAGTGTGAGCCTGGGGTGGGGGGAGGGCTGTGGCCTGGGACTTCTAAGGAGACAGTGGAGGATAGATGTTGCCCTGGAATGGGGAGGCCCCGACACAGTATACCCAGGCCAATTGGGCAGCACCCTGGTACCCCCACCCCCACCTCCCGTTGTGCAGGAAAGAAGCACACAGAGGCAGGGTGCCGTGGTGGCGCACGCGGACGTTTATTTCTGAGCAGGTCACAGGCGGCGGTGGTAGAAGAGCACACGGTGGCACATGGGGCATGAGTGCTTCACGTCCATCAGCGCCCTTATGCAGAAGGGGATGAGGCAGCAGCCCATGACGCACCTGCAGCCTCCGGGTAGCAACAGGGGCCATTAGCAGGGGCCCGCCCCTCGGCCCAAGTGTCTCGGTGGCTTAGGCCTCCGTATTTTTAGACAATTCTCGGGGGTCACCAGAGTCAAGAGCATCCTGAACCCTCTTCTCAACAGCAGTCAGGGACCTCTGCCCTGAGCCAGCTGCTCTGCAGGCACTGACCCCTGTACAGCACCCCCTCGCTATTCTAGGGGTACAGGTGAGGGCTTCCCTGCATGGTCTGGTCCTGCCCTTCCCTCTCATGTCTGCCATAAGCTGGCCCTTCCCAACCCCATGAGGCCAACACCCCCCCCACACACACTCCGATGCTCAGGGGTGGCCACTCACCCCCCCAGGAGGCAGCTTATACACATCAGCCAGGTGAGGATTCCTGGGTAGGGGGTGGTCACTGTGAGGATGCTGTGTCCACAGAAGGGACACACAGTCCGCACCGGCCAGCTTCCTTTCCCTTTCATGTTGTGATACAGTTCTGGGGGTGCAGGAGGAGGCAAGGATCCTTGCAGTAGAGCTCCAGGCTCTCACTGCTCACCTGAGCACCAAGGCCAACGTCCCACCACCCTCCTGCCCACCAGCCTCAGCAGACCTGGGCCAGGGCACAGACAGGAGTTGAGAATTCGAGAGCATATGTGGGTTTCAGTTCAGTGGGGTCCCCGGATGCCCTGCCACATGTGTCCCTATTTAAGGCAGCAAAATACACTAATACACACCTTTAGTAAAGCAACTGTATGAAAGACAAACCAGCACCTTCCTGCGGTGTTGTCTTTTTTCTGAATGCAACTCCTGTATGATCCTTGTGTAGTGGGACCATAGAAAGTGATTATTTTCAAATTACGGCCATTTCTATATCCTTGGTGGTGACTGGATTAGTGTTCTGAACTGAAGGCTCAGGGTGGAGTCTGAACACATGGCCAGGTGTGGAAGAGGAGTGAGGAGAAGCTGGGATTTGGTGAGCAGTGGCCCTGACAGGAGTGGGGTATGATGTGGACACCTTCATATGGAGAACGCTAAGGGGACACGTGTGTCTGGCTGGAAGAGGGTGTCCGGTGGGTTCTAAAGACTATCCACGTGTCCTACCCTGAGGTTCTGTCTGCATCCCCCCCCGTCTGGTCTGCCCAGAGAACGGGAGTTCCCGCCATGAACACTCCATAAGCACCTGCTGTATACCAGCCTTGACCACCATTGCCCTCACATTGGAGAGAGGGGCCCCGGTATTTGCGGCACTGAGAGTGCTGCAGAGCCACGCGGCAGCTGTGGGAATCACAGCTGTGACAAGGGCCTTGCACAGCCAGGGGTGGGGAAAGACTGCCTTCAAGGGACACTCACCTGTGACAACAATCTAGGGCCCTCCAAGGTACATTGGGGGAGGGGCTTGAGCTTGCAGAGGACGACGACGACGACGACGATGAGGAGGAAGATCTTTACGAGAGAGGCAGGAAAAACATCCTCAGATCTGAGGGCCCACTGTACGCCAGGCACTGAGCTGAAAACTGAGCCAGCCTGAGGGAGGCACCCATTTCACAGAACAGAAAGCTGAGGCTGGGGGTTGGGAATGAGTCAGGCTGTCAATGTAGGTGGAAGAGCTGGGATTTGAACCCAGGCACCTCTGGAGCCAGCACCAGGAAGGTCAGAGTCCAAAGACGGCTGGGGGTGGGGGCTGTGATCTTTGTAGGAAAATACCGAGCACTTACTACATGCTGAGCCCTGTGCTGAACACCTCACACTTCACATTCTCTTGCTAAAACGCAAGTGACGTGGGTTTGTGGTGGTCCAGTTTTGCAGGTGTGGAGGCTAGGCTCAGAGAGGGTAAGTAACTTGCTCAAGGTTACCCAGTAAATAAGTATCAGAGCCAGGGATGGAACCTAATATGCCTGACTCCAGAGTCGGTGCTGCCATTACAGCTGGCGCAGAATGGCTCCAAATGGGCTGTATCTGTCTACTCGTTTGGGGAAGGACTGTTTGAGTTCAAGTGCTGTCTTCCCTCATTATTCCCAACCTTGGCTCCTTCCTGAGCCACAGTGGTTTCACAAGTGCGTGGACATCCTGACTCCACACCCTCACCTCTAAAGAGCCCCCAGGCAGGCCCTGGAAGCAGGCTTAGGGCTCTTGAGACAAGGAATTCTGGGACCCCAGATGCCCAGAGTATAGGCAGGAGAGGGGAGGATGGGGACATAGTTAATTGCACATCGTGTAGCCAGTGCGTGAGTCCTTCTAAGAGCCACATGGTTGCTTTGCACAGGGACCTAAGCCTTGTCTTAACAACTGCATCCTCTTGCCCTCCTAGGAAAGAACCTGGTGGCTTGAGAGGGGGCCAAGGGTCTCCCCACCCAACACCCACTCCCACCTTGTGCTGGACAGGCTGGACTTTGGGACAGACAGAGGCTTCCTACCCAGCCAGTGCCTGCCTGGAACTGTTTGAATGTCAGAAAGGGCTGCTGGCTGAGTCAGCAACCGCCCCACCCAGTATCAGCCTTCTTTCATCCTCCCCACCACCGTATATGGTCAGTACAGCTTTCTTTTAGAAGTTTTTGAGACAGGGTCTTCCTCTGTCACCCAGGCTAGAGTACTGTGGTGTCATAACTCACAGCAATCTCAGACTCTCTGGTTCAAGCAATCCCAAGCCTCCTGAGTACCTGGGACTACAGGCACCCACCACAACTCCTGGCAGAACACCATCTCCAGATGAGAAAGAAATCGTTGAGAGAGGTTCAGTCATTTTCTCAAGGCCTCGTCCACACGGCCAGGCAGCACCACGGGCAGGACCCCAAACCCCTCCTGCCCTGGTCTAGGTAGTCTGGTCACAGGGTTGGGGATGTCATACCTGCTGTGGAGCAGTCATCAAAGTTGTCTCTGGCCACACAGAGTTGCGGGTGTCCTACCTGATGTGGAGCAGTCATTATTCATCTTTGATAAATTCCCTGTGACACTTAAAGGGACAATACATGCCATTCGGGCCCCAGTGCCCAAGGCCTCCTGGGTCCTGAAGTCCTGGGTTGGCAGGGCCATTAGAACGTGAGGGGAGGAGGGTGAGACTGGACTCAGCCCTCAGCTTGGCCAGCTGACCCAGTGTCCCCTTCCCTGCTTCCCTATGGGCCCCAGAGTCAACTTCCTGCTCTCCCAGTCCAGCACCTGAATAAAGGGAAGGAATCCTCTCCCTGGGAATGATTCCACCTTGGCGCCCTGGAGGTCTTTTTCCCAGCAACAGTGTCCAGGCAGCGTTGGGTTCCAAGCTCTGAGTGGCCAGGTGCCTATTTCAGGGAACCCCTATGGTGAGGCCTGGTTGCCTGGCAGTGAGAAAGGGGCCAGGGG